ACGGAGTAGGTAGATCGGATTAGGCTCTCTAATCTGAACTACCAGTACACCTCGTTCCACGAGGATATTTAAATCCCGGGCTTCATTTGCAACTTCGGTTGCCTACATTAACCACCCTTGTTCGAACTAGGGTGGTAGTGTAGACATACCCTAGTTGTTTAACTCCAAAAGGGGGTAGAGTTTATATGAAAATCATTACAGAAAAAACTTTGTCATGTTGTTGTTGCATGCATAAACAACATCGGGACATAATCATGCCTTGTATAAATTTGTTAAAGTTTATGTAGGAGAAAATTCTTTATCGCCAGTAAAAAGCCTAAAATAGCTAAGGAAAATCATAATTACTAGAAGCCTTTCAAAAAAGACCTGGATTGCACTATAAAGATAGGTTGACATAAATTGCCTTATTTTAGACATGTGTCTACACTCAAATATGTCTCCAGTCAATGTAAGTACCCCATTATAGTGATGCAGGAACATCACCTCACCGATTGTACACTCAAATATGTCTCCAGTCAATGTAAGTACTCCATTATAGTGATGCAGGAACATCACCAAACCGATTGATGTGGAGTAACAGTCAACCTATGGAAGCTGACTCAATGTGCACGTAGACACTCTATGACCTGTGTGAACCCTGAGGCTACATCTACACTGCACCATAGTTTGAAATAAGATATGCAATTTGAACTACACAAATTGCGTATCTTATTTCAATCTTATTTCAAAATAACCCACTATTCCAAAATGTTCCTTATTCCTCATGGAATGAGGTTTACAGGAACGTCGGAATAGCAAGTCTGAAATAATGAGCTCCTGCTAAGAGGCGGGATAGCTATTTTGGGATACTCCAGTATCCCGAAATAGTGTTGGAATGTAGACATAGCCTAATAGTCCTCTAGAATGTATCTCACAATTCCCTATTCCTTGCAACAATGAGTGCTTTGTTCACAGTTTTGAACTCCACTGTCTACGGTCATGCAGACCAGAAACCACCTCCTCTGTCACCCCCTTTATACCTCCCCATGTATTTTTTAAATGCCGAAATGATTTTTCTTAATTGTCCACTTGATTGCAAGCTCACTTAGCACCTAATCCTTGCTGTGTGCAACTGCCCAACTGTAGATCATGGTGCAGATGCAAAATTGATATCTGCATATGTGACTATCCATAGATCTAAACCAGTGCCCATGGAGATCTAGAGTTCTATGGGGCCCTGCAGCAGCATGTCAGGCCACACCTCCCAGGAGCCAGCACCATGTACTGGCAGCTCCTCTGCTGTGGCTGTACAGCCCGACCCACTGAGGTGGGAATCAGGCTCACTGGCAGCTATCCGAGGTCATGCCAGTGTGTGTAACCAGCTCACCCACTCCCGGAGAGGAGATGCAGACCACAAAAAGTGGGAGTCTGGTGTATATAAAGAGTTGGGAGGTATTGCTCATAGGCTGCTGTGGGTGGCAGGGGGACCAGAGAGCTCTGACACTGCAGGTGGTGGGAGTACCCCTCCTTCCACTCCCCTCTTGTCCTGCAGCAGGGCTCAATCTCAATCCTAGTTAAATCCATTTTATTACAGATATTTTTAATAAAAGTCAGAGACAGGTCACAGGCTTCTAGGAATTTCTATTTATTTCCCATGATCTGACACAGACGCATGCACTCCTGGTGCCTATGCACAGTGATTGCAGAAGCAGTCAAGCATGCACATGGCCAAGTACTATACAAACTTTGGTAGCTGCGTAAGGACAATTTTTGTTGAGCAAGGTCTGTAGTGTAGACATGACCAAAATGAGGCATATTCATCCCTGGAGTCTAGCCACAGAAGTCAGTGGATTTACACTAGCAGTGAATTTGGTCCATTGGGTGGACCTGCCTACAATAACCTTGATTTGCCTCTGATGCTGTGACAATTGTATTGATGTTTAGTAGCTATACACTCTTATAAAACCAAAGGTTGTAGGAATCAGGTGAGCTAAAAAGATGGAAAGCATATGTGATGGAAAAGACCTTTGGAACTGATACTTTAGGGACTGGCAGTTTGGAGAGTTCTAAAAGCTGTTCAGTTAACTTTCTCCCAACCACTCTATTTGGTCAACCGCTCAAGCCAAGAGACTCTTCTGTATCATAAGCATAGCTGAATCAACTGTTCGGCAGCTGGCGGGAGATGCTCAGGGGAAGGCAGAGAGCTGTGAGCAGTGGGCCTCAGGGAAGGGGTGGAATGAAGGCGGGGCCTCAGGGCAGAGTGGGAAAAATAAAAAACGGTGCCTGAGAACATAAGCATAGTCCAGGACATCACTCCTTACTGGTGGCTGCACAGATTAACCTCATTTTACATAGATTCTACTAGTTTGAGATTAAGAAATCACAGGATTCCATCTAAATTTGCATCTCTCATTGGGCAAGGAAACTTGCTACTGACAAGTAGATAAGGCATCTGAGGATCTGTTAACCAACAGAATGAACCCCACTCTGAAATCTATCTTAAAAATTGTGGGAGGAGAGGAGAAGAATATTTTCAGGCAAGGTTTAGAGAAAATGAAAGCTACATTGGAACTGGTTAAAAGCAAATGGCTAAAAATAGCCAGTCAAACGGAAATGTCAATAGAGTATTAATAGAGTTGCTGCATTTGAAAAACTCAGCTTTGAACTTCTGAAGCTACAGAGAAGACTGCATGTGTTCTTTTTTCCTAACAGCTTATGACAAAGGCCTTTCATAGAAGCTAAAGTGACAGAGGCTCAACCCTGTTGATAAATGAGGCAAGAGTCGTCTTCGCTTCATCACAACAATGTAATTAAAAAATTGCCAACTGAGACAAAGAATGTGCATATGAAAAAATTGCTAGTGACAGAGCTAAAGCAATAGGGTTAGTTTTCCCTGCAATTTGTATAGGTGGAACAATTTCCCTTTTTAACATTTATGTCAGTTCCTTTATACTAACTTACTTCCTTTACTAACTTCCTTGTAATTTACTGTTTTTTCCTTTAATTGAATGATGACTTTGCTTTCCACTCACTTTCTGGCCATAGTAAAAATAGTTAACTTTGGCTACTATGTCACTAATTACTGATGGCCTAGATGAGTTTTATAGAGTTTTGATTTCTAACATTTTATGGGTTAAAAAGATGAAACACCATCCCAAGCAACTAGTGGGAGAGAGTTCATTGTGTGTCAACATATTTGCAGTGTGAAGACAATTATTTGGACATACAGGGTATGTCTACACTACAGAGAATATCGAAGCTGCTGCTGTTTATCTTCCAGAGTTTGAATTAGAGGATCTAGTTAAGACAGCGAATTCGAATTGAGAGGGGCACTCTGGTTGATGCTGGTAGTCCTGCTTTCACAAGGAGTAAAGGAAGTTGAAGGGAGAGTGTTTTCCTTTCAACTTCCTGCAATGTGAACAGCGTAAGGGGTCGAGCTAAGCTACTTCAACTTCAGCTATGCAATTAAAGTAGCTGAAGTTGCATATCTTAATGCACACTTGTCCCATAGTGTAGACAGACCCACAGTTTGTCCCAGTGTTCTGACAGTGGAACCTGCCTTCAGTATGGCAGTGCCTGAAAAAATGATAGCATTTGAGGCGGTATCAGTGTTTCCAATAGAAACCCCTCTTTTCAGTTATTTAAAAGTTTAGTCACACCATTAGTTTCTGGCTAAAACATGACACACGTGGGGTTTTTTTTTTAAGTGGGGGTCCCTAGGTAAAGAGTAGGTTGTTACAGGCAGTGTTTTGAAAATGGACAGCAAGCACAACAACACTAAAGGCCTTGTTCAGGTTAAAGTTAGATTTTCTTTGTAAAGTGACAGAGCATTGCTGTCTTGACCCCCCCGCCTCCTCCTTCTGTTCTGCAATGTGATTTGTCCTTTTCATATTTGTTCTTTTTTTTAATTGTATCCTTTGGTATATATGGTTGTGACTACTTTCTTCCACTATTTGATCTGAGGAAGTGGGTCTGGCCCACGAAAGCTCATCATCTAATAAACCATCTTGTTAGTCTTTAAAGTGCTACATTGTCCTGCATTTTGCTTCAACTACCCCAGACTAACACGGCTACATTTCTATCATTGTTTAACTTGGGCCATGTTGGCATTCACCCACCTCTGGCATGGAATGGGATAAAAAACTGCATAAAATGAGGCAGAGGAAGAAGAGGGGCAGGCATGCAGCAATTTACAACAAACCACATACTGGTTTCAAAGTTATCCCCAAAAGGGCAAAATCCTGGCTCCAAAGTCAATGTGAGCTTTGCTAATGACTATCAGAGTAGCCAGGATTTCATTCCCTCATTGATCCCCAAAGCTTCACAAGGATTATGTCCAAAATAAAAATTAACAGGTCTTGAGCAATTTCTCCAGCAAAACTAAATGGGCTCTCTATTAATGCTCAGGCACTAAGGTTTTCCTCCAGCTTTCCTTAGTGTGAATTATCAGTAAATCATCAAAAGTAACAATAACAAAAATATCAATAGGATCAGGCTATTATGAATCATATTCTTCCTAATCAGATTATGAAACAATAAGAATCTAGGCACTTCACACAGGGACAACTTCCGTGCCCATTTTTCATCATGTCTGAATGGGTTCACTTGTTCCGGGTGTTGAGGAAAGCAATCCCTGGCATGTATATGGCTGTGGTCGCACAAAAGCTACCTCCATGTTGATGCAGCAATGTGAAGGTGGTAAGTGGTTGTGGTCTGTCCCTGGGCAACCCGTGCCTCTCTCCTGATGCAATGGGGGTTTGCGTGGGAACAAAAACAAAACTACCAACCGAACAAAAATTTGTGCAGAAAAAAAAAGTCACGTAAGTATATATGGATCTGTGCATGCAGATGGATGCTTGCAGCATCAAACACATTTTGGCAATGAAAAGAAGCGAATGGATTTTGGAAGGTTTCTGTTTCTGTAAGATGTCATGCTCATACTAGGGGTGCAATTTTCCCTCATCACAGATTTACTAAAGAGCTCCACAGTTTTTCCTTGCTTAGTAAAATGCAACACTTACCTGTAAGCCCAGCAGCTTCTGCTGACAAGAAGGCACTCCAAGACAGGAGGAAAAACAGGCCTGTTTCCAACATGGGGAATTCACATAGCTTTGTAAATTTGGTCAAGTGCTAAAAAATACTAAGGAAAAAAATAACACAATTTTCAGCCTAAATTGACCCCCAACAGCATAAGTGAAATAATGCACCATAAAACTATTCACATAAGCATGTGCCTTCAAAGGGACCTTAGAGATATACATGTTATTTGCTAGATCAAGGCCTAAGTGATTGAATTTAACATCAATTTTCCAGCGTTAGTCTACTTCACAGATCTACTTCAATTTATATTTGCCTTTGAAATGCGCTCATGTCATGTGGTTTCAAAGAAATGTGGCCATGAAAAGGTGACATGGTAACAAAATGATCAAAAGGCCAAATTGGTCCAAGGAATTTATTGTCTGTGTGAAAGGAAAGGTCAACTTTACTACATAGCCTTTAAATGGAATCAGTTTATGAATCATAATCAGTGCTTCGGAAGTGGCCTCTCAAATGAATTGAGATGGGGACACTGATTAACACATTGGTTATTAGATATTGTATTTATATTTGTGCAAAGTGAGAATAAGTTGCTACTGTTGTACACCAACTGATGTAAATGATTAAACAAGATGTAGGAAAATGGAAAACTATGCCAGTTCAGATAAATTGTGTTTTGATTAGTAGTCAATAGCTTGGCTTGTACTTTAATTACTGCTATTACATGCATTGTAAATTAAAGAAATATTGTATTTATGTCAGCACCTCAAAACACTTTGCAAACATTAATTGCTTTGTACCTATTTTGTGGCAGCATTCACTGAGGCATGGAGGGATTAAGGCCCAAAGCCACAAAGGTAGTTAGCTGCCTAACTACCTTTGAGGCTCTGGGCCAAAGGCTTGTCTACATTAGAATCTTAAGTCACCTATATTAGGTTATCTGTGAAATTGGTAAATATGCTGGGTATCAGCTGATGTAAGTAATGCAATGTCTACACAGATACTTAATCAACCTGGCTACACAGACATAAACCCTACTCTTCTTATGGAGGTAGGCTTATTATGTTGGTGTAGTATGGCGCTTACATCAGCGGGAGCAAGGCTGTAGCGTGTACAGGGACGTCATTAGGTTGATGTAAACTGCCTGATGTCAAGCTAACACTGTAATGTAGACCAAGGATAAGCATTTTGCCTAAAGTCCCACGGTGAGTCAGTGAAAATAGAACCCACAAGTCCTGACTACTTTTGCCTATTTGAACTAGTAGACAAAACTTCTTCTCATTATGATCCAGTTACATTATGTTCCCACAGAGTTGTATGGGCCAGTTAAAATATAAGGCCATGTCTACACTAGAAAAGTATTTCAAAATTACTAAATTAAACTTAATAACTCTTTATTTAACAAATTCAAACTGGCATGCCCACACTTCAGGTTAGCCTCAAAATTAGTCTGAGGCAGGCTCCATTAATGTGGATGCACTCCCTCGAACTTAGAGCCCCAGGAACCATTGGGAAGTAATTTGTTCACATTACTCTGGGGAGTAATTATTTTGAAATAGCAGCACCGGAGCATCCACACTACCATTATTTCAAAATAACTATTTTGGAATTAGCATTACTCCTGATAAAAAGCAGGAGTACAGATTTTCATTATTTCAAAATAACTGGCTTGGTAGTGTGGACACTCCGCTTATAAATTCAACCTTTGGGGAACTATTTCAAAATAAAATCCTAGTGTGACCAGGGCTAACAACTACTGAGAAGACTGAGTGTGATATGAAGCAAGGGTCTCAGTACATAAATTCATGTCAGCGTCAGATGGCACAGCACAGGAGAATTATGATTTCATGGTGCTTTATGTTTGTGTTTTGATTTTTTCAGGAATGCTGAAATACTATCAGGTACTTGTAACTGGAAGTCTGATGACTTTGTCAGTGGCTGTGAGCATTGCCAAGTAGGTGAGCCATTGCTGAGAGCAAGGTTGCATCACACATTTGGCCTCCGGATACATTCGGTCAAGGGCAGCATTCCATTTCTCCCTGATTGAAAGGGTGGGTCAGCATGATAATGTTTTGTGGAGAAATAAAATCAATGGGGGAAAAGAGAGAGTTTTCAGAGAAGCATCCCATAAAAGAGAAATTGGGGTCCTGTCCTACCACTTTTACTCATGTGAATATTGTTAGGCACAAGAGTAGTCTGACTGAAGTCAATGAGACTACTTATAGGAGTAAGAGCTATAGATCTGGGGCACGCTGGTGAAAATCAGCATAGCTCCATCGACTTGCATTGATTTTCTCCAGTCATGGACCTGGCTCTTAGTTTAAAAGGTTCCACTTCGGTGAAGAAGTTTGAGTTCAAAGTACAGATGGTTAATGCTAAATCACAGCCAGCCCTGGGAGTGCTTTTCAAGGCAAACAAACTTTCAAATCTGCAGAGTTTTTCTGTTTGAAAAAACAATAAAGGATATTAAAGCTGTGACAACAGCATACGAGGACCCCATTGCAAACGATCCAGCAAAGATCCCCAGAAAATTCCACACAGACTGGAAGAAAGCAGCAGCATCAAATGTGTTAGGATTCTCCTTGGGACTGTAAATGGATATTGAACTGTAAAGGAAACAAGGGAGAGAGAGGGAAATAATGAATTAAATCACATTATCATTATAGTGAAATCAAGAAGATACCCACTTAGTAGGCACTCACAGTGCAAGAAGATGCTCCTCTGGGTTGTTAGCAAAATAAAGAAGCAAGAAAAAGGAGACTGGGAGGACAGGGTTTATTTTTCAAGGCAATAACCTGAGAATCAGTGGTTTGCTGCCAGTCAGTAAACATTTTTATACTGGGACTGTCATAAAGAATATTGTTTCCAAGCCTTCAAGGCATTAAACCATGGTAGGTGTATAAGGAATATGCAGGGAAAATAGATAACTTTGAATTATTTATGGGCCATATGTCTTCGGAGCTGTTATATATTCACAAATATTCCTGATAAAAACTGTGCTTTTACAGCTGAGGCACAAATGGGCGATACAAATCACAGTGTGTACCAAATCTTCAGCAGTGATGCTGTCATAAACCGCAAAGTAGTTCCCTTCCCTAGCATAACCCTTCGTAAACAAAACGGCGAACATGTCAAGAGCTGCACAATATGAAACCCTAGGGAAAAAACAAGAGGGCTGTTTTCCCAGAGAAAGAAACTGTTGCAGTTGCCAGAGGTCGTGTTTTATATCCAGTCTTTGGCTGTAACCATCAAGATTATTTTCTTATGGGAAATTACTCCACCAATGGCAAGGCCATAGCTTTAAACATTTTTGAGGGCATCAGATTTGCTGTTTACTACAAGTGACTTGATGCCTAGAATGCTAATGGTATTGCCAAGTGTGAATGTATTTCTGCTTGTTGTAACATAAAAATTAACAGATGTGCTGTAGCCCCAAGCTCCCAAATACTAATTAAGCGACATTTCAGATTTTTGTGGTTCTGTTGCTTTTGACACTTGAGGTCTTTTATGCTCACTGTCAAAGACATTCAAGTGAGCTTGGCAATGGATTTTAAAATGGGGTTTGCATTGCTATCAAATGATTGGTAGTTCATACATTAAAAATTTTTAAATTGGGATGAATTTCATGTTTATGGTCATGTTCTTAATGTTTGATTGGATCCACCTTGTCATCTCCAGCCTGATTCTGGCCTGCATATTTATACCTGCCTCTGGAAATTTCCACTACATGCATCTGACGAAGTGTGTCTTTGCCCACGAAAGCTTATGCTCCAACACTTCAGTTAGTCTATAAGGTGCCACAGGTCTCCTCGCCGCTTTTGCAGATTCAGACTAACACGGCTACCCCTCTGATTCTTAATGTTTGTCTCTGCAACTGGGTGTTTTCTGTTTGGAGAATAAGCAGCAGGGATGCAGCTCCATATTCAAGATTTTCTGAACAGTTCACTCACTAAGTACCTCCAAATGTTATGCAGAAACCAGCATTTAAGCTACTTACTTTCAGAGCTTATCCCTTGGTTGGACAAGGTTAGATAGAAAGGGAAGTGAACATGAGCGAATAAAAGAACGATCCTTAAAAATACTCAACTGCCAGCAATCGGTGCTCACAACTTGTCTGGATCTGGACTTAAAGTCTTGCTTCTTTGTTTTAAGAACAAAATGCACTGTACATACACTAATTAAGCATCACATGAATTTAGCGATGTAGCTAAGTAACAGTTACAATTCTAGTTTTACATATAGGAAAATTAAAGCAGAGGAATGAAGTGATTAGTTTAAAGGGCACATAGAGAATCAGTGGCAGGGTCAGAATAAGGCTTTTAAAGCTATTGATTCCTGGCCCCAATCTTCTAGACCGAACTGCCTCTGGAGGGCAAAGGGGCACGATTCAGCATTGATAAATATTTCATTTTCTTCAAAATGGCACATTGTGCCTGCACTGTGATGATAACGGTGTTCATTAAGCAGGGCCAGAGAAGTAATGTGCAAATGAGCAATGACATTCTAAACCCATGCATGAGAACGTGAATATGAATGCTGAGAACTTTCCTTGTATAGAAAATTTCAAAGCACCAGAAGCTGATACTCGCTCTCATGCAGAGTAGCACTTTATTTCCAAAAATACTCTTGTTAACTTCAGAGGGACTGTTTGAGTTCATCTCTTGTCTTCATTCATGTGTTGAGATAGTGGTGTGGGGAGGACATGGGGGCAGCTGCGCTGGGGCAAGGAAATATAAGAGGGCCTGCGGCCTGCGGCTCCCAGCTGCCACTGCCACTACAGCAGAAATGGCAGTGGCTGGAGCCCCGGTCAGCATGTGCAGGCGGTGCTGAAGGACTGGAAAGGTGACTAGCTCCAGATCCTCCCCTTCTGTCCAAGGCTCTGCCCTGTCCAGGGACCTGAAGTCAGCCCCCACTAGCCCATGGCTTGTTGGCTGCCCTGTTTCAGATGATGCTCAGCACAGACCCCTTCAGTTTGAGGTTTTAGCCTTCACAATCACGTCAGAGATTATAGTAAATACATAAACCTGTACTGTCTAAGCAGCTGCTTTTTTCAATTGATATCAGTATAACACTGTAGGTCAACAAACTCTTATTTGCTAATATTTCTTGTATAACTAAAAGGGACCCCAGTTGTGTTTTCTGTGTTGAAATGATACAACTTGTCTCTTCTTGACTGTAGATCACATTCTCAAAGAAGAATGCAGAGGCTGCAGTTCCTCATACCTTTTTCTTAATTAAGTGTAAATGGGAAATTGATCTTTTATATCACTAGGTTTTGAGACCTGACTTCAATCAGGTCAATCTGTCATTTGCCCTGAGTTCATCAAAGAAAGCTTCTGAACTGTCCAGAAAGGGCTTGGCCAGTACAAGAGACACCAAAGATGTTAAAAGCCATGAGAACTGTATGAAAATTTTCTTGACCCAGAAGAATACACCAGACAAACTTCAATGAAAGCCATTAATGGACTGCTTATTAATTATGTCAGCCTCAAGGAAAAAGAGGCGTCCTAGTTTAAAATAAGTTAAAGAATATTATGCTAGGTTTAACAATCCAATAAATGGGCTTTTTATCAAACCAAAATATCCGAACAATGTATTTAAAATTAAAATTAGAGCTATTGTGCAGAACTAGAACAGCCTTCATCTTAGAAATTCTTTCTCTTTTGAGAAGGGAAGAAAACCACATCCTAAATCTTGACTTATCTTTATAATTGAAACAAAAAAATTATTTAAACAATTTTAGGCCCTAACTACACTGGCAGGAAAACTGTGCTAGCAATTTTCTGGCAAGAATTTTTGCTCTGAACAGTCCTCCTGGGGTCTAAAACATTAACATCCAAACTAGTGACTGGATGAATTTACTGGATTATTAAACATTTTCTTTGTCTATAGGTCTTCTCACACTTTAAGAAGTGGGACTATTGGGACAAGAATCAATGCATTTTACACATGATTAGCTATGATAAGACTTTAAAAAATCTGATATTGGTCACTAAAAACTGGCCCAAATTCCTAGTTCAAATATCAAACTAAACATAAGATGTACTGTTCAAGCAGCAGTGTAATTATTTCTTATGTCATAAACACTAGAAAAGAAATAAACCTATTAAATATGTGACATACCGAATTCATCCTCCTGACAATGTGAGATTATGTTTCCAAGCTTCCTGTCTTCTTAATTTTAAACGACTCAAGAAAGGAATTTCCATCCTTTTCCTATAAACTGTTAATATTCAAATCTCATTATCAGGATTATTTCCGTTATAGTCTGTCTAAATATTCCTTGTTGATGTCATCTGATAACTATAGCTTTGTTCTTCCTGTGCCCCCTTAAATAATTCTAACTCTGTATAGGGTTTTTCTTAACCAGTTAAGCATTATCATATTATCCTAAATTTTTGTTTTGGCAACTTAATATATTAACTTATTTTAGCACTATCTAATCAACAAGTCACCCAGGCTATGTCCACTCTACTAGGTTATTTTGAAATCATGGGCTTGGTATTTCGAAATAATAATTCCTGCTTGTGAAGAGGAATAAGCTTATTTTGAAATAGTTATTTCGGGAGTTGTTATTTCAAAATAAGGGGAGTTATTTCAAAAAAATACCCCAGTGTAGACATGGCCCCAGAGCTTTCTGTTTTTGAATGCCCTCCAATTTGTCAGCATCTTTCAAAAATTAAGTGTTCGGAACTGAACATTCTATTCTAGATGCAATTATTCCAGTGACAAATCTAATACCACCCAAGGGTGCATCTACACAGCACCCTTAGCTTGAAATAAGCTACGCAATTTGCACTATGCAAATTGTGTAGCTTATTTCAAGTGTATGTCAAAATAGCTTATTTTGTAATTTGGCGCTGTCTACACAGCATCAAATTTTGAAATAACTCGCCATTCCAAAATGCCCCTTAACCTTTGTGGACCAAGGGCTGCTGGGATATCAGAAGAAGCCACCCGTTATTTTGAAATCTATTTTGAAATAATGGGCTTCTTCAATAGATGCAGAATAGCTATTTCGGGATACTTCCGGTATCCCAAAATAGCTCCACAGTGTAGACATACCCTTGGAGTGCTTTTCATTAGCAGATCTTAAAGGTCAGAATTTGTATCTTCATTTTACACACAAGGAAACAGAGGCACAGAGTGGTGACATCACTTGCCTGAGATGTCGCACAGCAATGGCCAAGTCAGGCCTAGAACCAAGGTCTTTAGCATCCAAGTTCAGCACTTGATCTATGAGGCCTAAACATCTCCCTCTATAAAAAGACTTTTGCCTCAAAGGATGATGAATATGGAAGCCAAAAATCACACAGTCTATTTTTAACATCATATCACCATATTAGCACCTATTAAAGTTATGGCCCTCCATAACTGATCTTTTTCAATGTTTTGCATTAAAGCTATTGTCTCTCTCTCCTGCCTTTCCCTCTCCCCATCATCTACGTTCTTCTGTGTTATTTTTCATCCTGCATTTCCCCAGACTGAATCCCATTTGGAGTTTTCCTGACCACAGTTTTTTCCTTTATACTTTTTTTTTGGTTTTGGTCCTCACCATTGCCCATAGTACTTCCTAGTTTAGTATTATCCACCAGGGATAAAATCC